GTGTACTGCAGCCATGCTGCATTGATTGTGGTGCTACAGCTCTTATTTTGACCCGCCTGGGACAACAAACATCGATGATTGAGACCATCAGTCGGACTTCGGCCAATGCTAGCCAGAGAGCCTTTGATGTTGGAATTCCAGATCTACTGAGATCAACGGTCAAGGGGCGCCCAGTGACTACGATTCTATACCTGATGTCTGTCTATGCTGCTTTTCGGGACTGATATTACAGAATGTAGAAATGCGATTATCACACTATCCATTGGTACAGATATGGCGATCGACAACCAGAGTCATTTTGAATGTATTATGACAAGACAGAATAAATAGAACAAATCTGAATGCAAAAAGCGCTAGGAACGCAAATATCTCCCAGGTGCATTCACAAGCTTTCTGAAGTACTTGGTCTCCCCCACATAGAGAATCCAGCTGTTTGAATCCCCAGCAACCCTAAGCCATTGCGGATTCTTATTTCATGTCCGTGTTGGCATGAAGAGGTGGCTGCAGGTATATTGGAGGCTGCGACAAAAGCTCGCCAGCACAGGCAATTTCAAATATGGGACAGATCAAGAAGGAGGGCGGTCCAGAGAGGCTCATGGCCACCTGATGCTGGGTGAGGGCAATTTATTAGTGTATGGTCACCCCTACCTCCAGCAGCCATTGATGGGATTGGTCAGGCATGACGAATGCCAAAGGGAGTTTCTGCAAATCCCCTGTCTCCAAGTCGGTCCATTGATCCCCGTATGAATTTTCGTCGAGCTTAGTATCACACCAAGGAAAGAACGCCTAGAGGCATAGATAAGATGATGTTCGCGAAAATTGGCTTGGACGACTTACGCAGCCAAAGCGTATAGATTTCTCCACGGCCAGGTCCAGCGGAGGCAGTTCCACATTATCATAGGTTTTGGTAATCATTTCAGCTTCCACACTTGTTGCAGTAGTGAGTTTTGAGATCGGAAAATAAAGAAAAGACCATATATTTATAATTTGGAGCGACAAGACAAAATTGACGAGAAAGTACGGCCTAGCGCGTAACTGAAGATGATTTGGAAAACACTCGGAAGCTAGTCCCAGGCCCCTGGAGACCTATCCTAGTTTCCCCAAAGTCGAGTATAGGACCATATTGACCGGTCCTGGGAGCTGCAGCGCTCCGAAAACGCGCACCTATGATCCCAGGGTAATAATTCGCTTTCGGGGATCTAGGTGAAGTGTTCCTGGGGCGGGACTTGATCTCACGTGCAAAGTTCTAGCTCAAGCGAGTTGACGAAAATCGGCCCTGGGATCCCAATCAGTGATCCTACGGATGACTGAAGCGAAAATGGGAATGCAGCCAATGGATCTGGGAGCTAGTCTGCTCCTGGGGCTCTTGAACCATGTCCTGGAGTAATTGTGCTTGATCTCAGGGCGAGAACTTTGCTTTCGGGGATCTAGGTCAGGTACTCTTGGGACAAGCATCTTGGTTCTACGTGCAGACCTTTTGTCTGTCAGGTATTCAGTAGTTACAGTACCTCAGGCGTTTTCATGTTGACCAGATGATGTGCCCTTTGGCCAGCTAGCGTAGTGGTCAAACCTGAACGCTCCACGATCGTCACATGGCCCGCACGGAGCCAGCGATAACTGATCCTGGGATCTTGATCAGTGATCCTGCGAATGAGTGAACTGGCATTGGGAACGTTACCAGTGGGCCTAGGAGCTAGATCGCTCCTGGGGCTCCGCAGTTGTGTTCTGGAACCGTCGTCGTTGATTCGGGGATCCAAGTAGGGCATCACGCGACATGCAGTTTAGCATTTCTGGCGTGAGCGAATTAAGTCGCTGATCTGAGCCTTACCGGAATAGGAGTATGCCAGGCTAAAATGTGCACAAAAGGGGAAGCACATCTCGCGTTGTGAGACCACTGGTGAGAACATCCGCGGTCCCCTGTCTTCATTTTCCCAACATATCCAGTAGGACATCACTACACTCTCATGCTTTCCGAACTTCCGACAGAGCTCCTGCTCGGGATTTGCGAGTCTCTACTTAAAAAAGACATTCTAGCGCTGCGCCTGGTCTGCCAACGTTTTTATTCGCTTTTCACCGATGTGCTCTTCCGACGCATCGTGTGTGATGAAGTTCCACTGCTTTTTCGTGCCGTGGAGGCCCAGAGACTGGATATTGCAGCGCTGCTCATCGAAAAATGCCACGTCGATATCAATTGTCTGCACGCTGGCAAGAATGCGCTTCTTCTCGCTATTGACCTGCGATACTCACAGGCCGTGGATCTGATCTTGCAATATCGGCCCAATGTTCGCTATTGCTGCGATTTTGGAGGTCGAGGGCCCCTGTCACTTGCAGTGATGGGCGGCAATGCTGCTAGCGTGGAGCGGATTCTCCAGTCTCAGGAGCTTGATGTCAACGATCGATGCTCGGATGGGCTGTCTGCCTTAGTATACGCGCTGAAGCATCGCGAGTACTTTGCCCTCCAACTTCTACTTGCTGATTCTCGAGTGGATGTCAATCTCGCAGATTCTCTCGGCTGGACGCCACTGCAAGCTGCGGTTCTCGAAGGAGATCATGTAGCAGCCCAGATGCTGGTGCGACATGCAGCAATCGATATCAACCATCAGAGCTCCCAGCATGACGCCCCTCTCCTGTTAGCTGTGAAAAGGCTCAGTGACCTGCAATCTGTTCTCATGGTCGACTCTCTTCTCTCGCATTCGAAATTAGATGTGAACATATCGGACATCAACGAACAAACGGCTTTATGGCACGCAGTCAACCGTGGCCACTATGACCTTGTGAAATCACTTCTACGTCAAAGCGATTTGAGATTGAACGATCCTGATCGATATGGGGTGACGCCATTAGCCCGAGCTGCCGAGAGGCCTGTTCTGTCCGTCCTTGAATTGCTATTGCAACAGCGGCAGATATGCATCAACTCTCAGTCTACACACATTGTGCCTCCGCTCTGGTCTGCATGCCGCGCAGGCAACTCTCCCGCAGTGAAGGCACTCCTTCGTCTGAGGTCAGTCCAGGCTAATCAAAGAGGCCCTACTGGAACCACGCCGCTCCAAGTAGCTGTGTATTCCAACCATCTATCCATTGTATCTCTGCTACTCTGTCAAAGAGACACGGTCAACATTAACGCCCGTGGTCGTCAACAATGGACAGCCATCTTCTTTGCCGCCTCTAATGGGCATGTTACCATGACCGAAACCTTACTGAAACATCCTGATATCAACCTGAACTTGATTGATGATCAAGGAAGAACCCCACTCTGGTGGGCAGAACACGGGCAGCATTCGAAAGTAGTCAATCTGCTGCGCAAGCACGGTCGATCAAGAAAGCGAAAGCGGCGTTTGGCTTGAATTGTGTTCAAATGAGTTACGACCCAAGGATTTCAGGGCTAGGCGAGGCGCTACTAATTGTGATACTACAAGCGCTGGTCTCATCCCTACGTGACCATTTTCAAGGCATTGTCTATCCTAGCTTAAGATCATGAAGAGTAATTGGAGTTCTTTTTTTGATGATCACATAGTTGAGTTTTCATAGCTTTAGGGCTTTGACCTTGAAGCTTATTGTCCATTCCTATCTCTTCTTCAGCTCTTCACCTCCTCTCTCTTCCTGCTCTCACGTTCACCTCTACCTCACATGCCGGTGACAGTACTCTTTATCATCGTTGCGTTCATGTTGTGAAGCAATCAGCAACCCCCGACTAAATTTCAGATTATCGGGGCTCATGACAAGTTTACCGCGAAGCCTTTGCCCTGTCCTGTTGTTCAGGTATTCAGGAAGAGTTTTCAGCCTTTTTCCAACTTTACCATTTATCCCTGATAAGTGCATCAGGAAGACTTTCCAGTCATGTTCTTCTCCTTCGGACCCGCAAAATTTTCCTGCCTGATCAAGAATCGCTGGTTGTGCCAGAAATTGAACGAAGCGAGCTGCCAGGTGAGTCTATTAGCGGCAGCAAAGTGCCAGCCTTACTGATAAAACCTCTTGCAGCTGTTTCTCCCAAACATGCGTATACTGCACAGAACGTCAACGTCACCCCAAAGTCTCCAATGAAGAAGGAAGAGATCCGCCAATCCGATGGTCTGCAATCTGAGAAAGAAGATGCAGTTGACTGGGATTCCTGGCTCACCCCCGAAGTGCTCAGCGGAGAGGACCCATCGCCTTTTGGATGAACATTACGCAACAAAATCATCGCAGATAAAATGGCTAGTGCTGCAAAACCTCTATCAAGATATTCACAGCCAATATCAGGGCCTTCATGCTTTCAGCAGGATACTACAACGTCTTGAGAACGCACGGCTGAGCTGATTTTTGCCACGTGGCAGACTGGACGCAGAAGTTGAAAACTCTCAAATTTATGCTCGAACAAATGAAATCCTGGTCTATAATCATACACTAACCCCACTTGGAGTCAATCTTTACATTAAGGGCTATTGATGTCGTTGTGTATAGTTGGAAAAGATAGACTGTGTGGGACGTAATGCGTCTCATCTTTCTTGACGCTGGCTGTCCTACGGCATATAGCTCCACTGGCATTCGCACCTAAGCGTTTGGAGCATCTTCCAATCTCCTCCTACGTTCTGTAGTACGTAGATGGCAGAGAAAAGTAAGTCCCACCCAGGGACCGCAAGGCAGCGGGAAGTTATGCAATTGTTTCTCTCAATGCAATCACGAAGTTTAAGTTCATTTAGTTATGACTCACGCTCGAAATCTTACTGACAGTCTTCATATTATCCTTTCTCAGCTGACACCACAGAAACACATTCAGATCGAATCAAGACGAGCAGACATCAACGAGTCCACTGGAGACCAGACATTAAATATCAGAAGTGCAAGGAAAAATTGAGTGAAAAGTAATGGGTGCAGTAGGGAGCATGGTATTGATTCAAGACGACCGTCCCCGACTTCCGCTCCAGTTGATTAGCAGTCCATGGAGATGGGCTTGGGTGACGTCGGTTTCATGCTCGAGGAACCGACAGTACTAGCCCTTGTGACCTTGGTAGACGAGATCGATGCAGACGTTTCTGTGGCTGTTTCCATCGAACTATCACCGAGGCAGAGCAGAAAGTCCCCACCGTGAACTCTTTGCCGATCGTACAGTCTGCTGTGTCTCCTCCGATGTTTTAAAACGTGAGAAGACCGCTCTTGTCCGCTGTGTTCCAAGCAAGCTCTTGACCAGATTGTCGATGGGGACGACAGACAGTCATATTGACTGCGTTTGTCTCGGTGCGCTCGTTGTGCCCTATCGTGCTGAGATCTGGTGGCTGTCAGTGGAACTGCGCCATAACCGATTGGTATGTAGCTGTACTTACTGGAGCAGTAAGTGCCATCTAACGGCGCGATAGCCTCCGAGGATCATGTGCAGCCTCGTGTGCTGTTTGAGTAGATATAGTACAGGCCACCCACGTCCATGATCTCCAAGGTATTGCCGAAGACCAGCGGGCGGAGCGTGAAGAGGAGCACAGAAAGGCGCATGATGGAGACTGCGACTTTCGCACGTGTAGTCTGTGGAGGTGATTGATGACTTGGTGGTAGTAAGAGCCTTCAGCTGTTCATGTATTTATTGGGAAGTCCTGTGCTGGGTGGTTTCTGAGGCCATCACAGATTCAGTCGGATATTCCGCAGCAAAAGACCTGGGCTTCATGAAGGGGACGCTGTTTGAGATTCACAAACCCATGATACTATATTATTGAGGCGAATAGGATGCTTTGACGGAACTAATTTTCGTTCGGATTTTCAACCCGAGTATGGTCATTATGCACGCAATTCGAGGTACCGTCTGGCAAATGAGATACCAGTGAGCGGCTTTTTAAGGACGGTCTATTTTGAATGAACACGTACCTTCATGGGAAATGGTCCTGACTGGGCACAAAGTTGAGCTCAGAATGCATAATTGTCTCAAAATTGAGGCCATGCGAACTTGACAGACCGCCTCGACCGCTTGCAGACGCAGAGTGATGGTATTGTCATTTTCGAGCGCAGCTTGACCAAGCACGCGTGAAAGTCGCTCAGATCCTCCACTAGGAAGCAAGCACAGCCTCCAATTTTGAACAAGTTGCACCAACAACGATGGTATACTTAGAATTGTTCAATTGTATCCAATTATCTGTCTACTATTTGAGATCTTTGAATATAGGGGCAACTGACATTCCCTGTAACGGCTGCATGCCTCATCATGTAACCATATTTGTGAATTGAACGGTAATTTGCATTGGTTCTACATCCCTATTTAACTCCTGGTCCTCTCTTGTGATACCTCACAACACACCCACACGCCGTGCTTGACAACTCCAGCTTTCCAGTGGCGCAGACACGATGTACATACTCCCAAATCCAAGATGATATTCGTGACTTTTTGGGACGGTAATTGGTAAGCGCTGGCGTCAAGCGATTTAAATGGAAATCAGCATGCATGTAGAAATGGCTTTGGCGGGCTCATACCTGAAATGGAGCTCCTTGTCAGCGTTGATTCGCTATTATCAGCAGAACGAGCTTCGGACGTGAGGATTGTCTGGAACCACAGGTCAATGTTGATTTGGGGTGCAGCTTTGACTGGGGCGTCTGAGTGTGAAGCCTTCTTTTCAACCGCGCGGCGTCTTGGCCCTGGTGGCCCTGGTGGCCCTGGTCGTTTACGGCGACCTCGAGTGTTTGGAGATTGGGCATTCGTGCAACCTTTCTTCCGCAGAATATGGTACTTTTTCCCACGTAAAGACTCAACGCTTCGGTTCACACCGAACTCCTCACTGTATGCGTCCGGAAGGTCTTTCCATGGTAATTCACGATTCTCATCCAACCAGCGAAGAAGGTTCTCTTCTTCTCGCTCCGACCAGCTCATAATGCCATGTGGGGACATTGTGATTCTTTAACTGATGTTGACGGGGCAGTTGTGATTGTTTGTTGAAGGGAGTAGGCTGAGATTTGAAACTTCGTAAGAGTCAGTTAAAAGCAAAATTCAGTGGCGAAGTCGGTCAGACTTCTCCAAGCCAAAATCTGTTCCGTGGATTGATCTGATGAGCCATTTCGAGGATTCTGCATCCTGAAGCCGCTCCATATTATAAACTTTCACCAATCTCTAAAATTCAGAATTTAAATATTTGTTTCCATCTTTCTGTCGCTCCTGAGAAACAATGACCATTACTGTTGAACAATGCTCAAAATGCCCAGCCTGGATGAAAAGGTAGTCAAATGCGTTTAGAGTGATGTTTGCATGTTGACCTTGCATGGTGACCTCGCGTGTTGACCTCATATCTTGAACTTGCATGCTAAAGGTTTGCATGTTGGAAGTTTGCATGTTGACCTTGCCTGTTGAACTTGTATGTTGTACTTGCTGTTAGTCTTGCTTGACCTCACTAAGAATCGTTAAACGCCCATTGTTGCAACCTCCTTGAAACTCATGGCTCTACATATTTTCGAAAAATACCGATAGATTTATCGTTGTCGCAACAGTAAAGAACATGAATTGCCTACTCAACTCTTACGGACAAATCTTTTAAAGGCTGCGTAGTTTTTGCCTTCAAAAGATTCGCTGGTTTAACACTTCTTTAGCACAAACATGGTTAGAATTCGAAAGGGTTCCCGGCCCAATCAACACGAAGAATTTCGACGTCGGTTGGAGCGCGGTTTGTCGCTATCACCTTCTGATTCGAACAGTGCACAAAGTTCTTTGCCATCGGCAGACGGTGACACTACAGATATTGAATCTCTTGAGGAGGAGAACCACTTCCCCAGCCTCCATTGTGAGACGAACCTGGTGGGTAGCATTTCGCAAGATGCCATTGAAGACTGGATACAGAGAGAGGAAATTGGAGAAGAACGGAATATCCAAGGACAGCCTGAGACTTCAGACAGTCGTATCATAATCGCTTTCCAGTGCATCGCAGAGTGAGTGTCTAAGTCTGCGTTGAAATCAACTCCCCTAGCTACTTGCTAACCGTACATTTCTCAGATTAGACACCCGAGTGAAGTTAGTCACGCCCTTTCACAGCATATAATGACACCGCTGACTGTTTCAGGTCCATTCAAGGCTCGCTGAGCACTCTTACAGATAAGATTGAAACTATTTGCAGTGATCTGGAGGATGTTGTTGATCGGCTGGTAGCCGTGGAGGCAGCAATGGAGACAATGGCCCCAAAATTTCAGGATTCTACATCTGAGGGTTCAGCGACTGAGTGGACCGGTCGTCGCCAGTCAACTTTCAGACTAGGATGTGATAGATTTTTGTTACCAAAGTAATGCTAAATGATTCACGTGACCGTATCTTCCCATCTAGCTGCCACAGCATCCTGCTGCATGGCCAACCAGAGAAGCCTCTGATTTAACGCCGCTAATCATTCAGTAAGTTAGTCTTGAGTGTAAATACCGAAAACGGCCACCGGTGTGACACCATATCTGGCCTGGCTAGAACGCGCGCACGGACGGATTAACACGTGCCGTTTAAGCTTTCTCGTGCCGGCGGGTCATTGCAATATGACCCACTTACTAAAATTGCCAACTCGGAGAGTGACAAAATGGAAAGCAAGATTTGGAAACTTGAGCGGCCGGCCTAGCAAATGATTGTCGTGAACACTGGCAAAGATTTTTGGCGTTACATCCAGGGCTTTGGGCAGATAATTCCAAATCATATGACCCGTGGCAAGCCTTTGAATTGACTTTGCTAGAACTGGCTGAGTGGAACATCATCTTCCGTGTGGGGCCTAGGGCGGAGCAGAGAGGAGATGATCATGATCCACCGATCGGGGGAACCCAGCAGTAATGGGGCCAAGTTACGGGCTACTTCGCTTGGCGGTGAACAATACTGCCTGGATTGGGACTCATCTTTTTTTTTTCTTTTTGGAAAGATCTCCGTTCTTTCAAGACTGGCAATAAAATCATTTTCATTATCAACCTAGTCATGCTATGACTGTAGGACGAAGACGACGACGCGATCATGAGGTAACTAAGCATGTCATGATTTGTGATATCAAAATGAAGGTTCATCAATTTGGATTGGATCCACAGCAACCCGGAGATCATGACACTTCACACAAGCGAGTCGAATACATTGTTTGCCACAGGCTCTTGCTGAGCATCTAGTGGGAGATTTCCCGATGCGGAGAACCCGGGAAGGGCATCGTGTCCCAAGGTTCCTAGCGGGCCGTACTGCTCCGTCCAATTTCCGTGGATCACTCCATAGCCGGGCAAAAAGGATGCTAGTCTACGGTTCTGGAGAGCGTCGATCGCGTTCTATAATTGCTTGGTCGCCGATACTAGCTCGTCATCTGCCTGATGCAAGAACACCTGAATATCACTCTATGGGACCTGATCCTGCATGGCGGCGTTCGTGGACTCTATCTGCCGCTTCAATTCTAAAACTTCTCTTTGAAGTCTCTCGCCCTCAGCTAAGGCGTTTCCTCTTACTGAGATAGCTTCCTGCGACTTCGAATTCTCTTGAACCCGTTCAGCACGCAGCTGTTGCACAAATTTGGAGCCGTCGGCTTTTTCGTCATCTTTCTCCGCGAGAGCCATTCGAAACTCGTCTTCAATCTGACTCATCACATCGAGACGTTTCCAATGGGTGACTTCACGTTCTTTCCTCTGAGTCGCTTCCATCACGAAATGTCCCTGAAAAATATCGTGGACCAAGAGCACATAATCCAAACAGTGGTGAGCGCCGTAACTTGTAAAGCAAGACATAAACGCAATGGTAGAGATCAGAATACCGATTCTTGTTATGGCTTCAATACCGACTTGAGAAGATCACAGTTCCCGTTGGAAGCGGAAACTTTCGACCGAGTAGATCAAGGGTAAGTGACAAGAGGTCTACTAGTACGCGGCTTGAGTTTGACAGTCCTTGTCCGGCCCACTCCGAGAGTTCTTAGGGTCTTTTCCCATTCTTTGTCTGTATGAGTAAGATTAAGTCAAAGGATCCGATCCATCGTGTTGCTCTGGGAGGTAGAGGTTTGGAAGTCAACGTGGAGACTGAATTCAAAATCCTGAAACGAGGTGAAAGATGGAAATATCATGTTTCGCCCCATTTTGCACAACATTATACCTGTAAGCAACAATGTGGCCTTTGCTAGCGGAATTTGAATTTCAACTCCAAGATTTGTCAACCAAGGCTACTGTGAGACATGGCAGAATGCAACAATGTCCATTGTCAAATCTCATTAGAGTTCTTTATCGAACAATGGAAGATCTAGAACTTGTTGACAATGCAAAGTAGGGGCTAATGTTAATATCCAGGGCAGCTCTGTGAGGTATTTGTTGCTGTCAAAAGATCATTATCTAGGTACATCGTTGATTATTACCCCACCCTATGAGACTTTAACGCTACTATCATACCTTGATGACAACTTGAAATCCAGACGATAAACGACTACCCACGGTAAGCCCTAATCAAGGCTTTTCTATTCGTGGCTAGGACAAAGGTTTGCAACGAGCGGCTGATTGGCTTATGGAAATGACCTAGACTTAGAGTGAAGGTCCCCACCACCTGCGGTTTTGAAAGTGTATCATTCAAGCACCTAGCCATGAAAATTTATTAACCTAGGGATCAAGATGACATTGAGAATTATAGTAATGTCTATGTGCCGATGAGTCCATAGCGACTGTCCCTATTCTTTTCAATAATATTCAGACAGATAAATTCGTTCAGTAAGCCCGAGCCGGTATTTATAGATAAGCTTTCTAACCAGACGGAATCTTAAACCCTAATTACTTTGGCAAAATTTCAAATGGCGACCGAACGTTTCCATGGTTCATCGACTATACTTTGTCACGATGGTTTTGGTGGCGTTTGATCACTTGTCGAAATTCCACTTTTTGTTATTTAGGTTTTGCGAAACCTAATTTTCTCCTGCAACTCAAGGTTCGAGGTATTGACTATGACGGCCAGTTGCATACTCAAGCAGTTGGGGCGTACACCTGAGCTACAGCTACCGATTTCCTTCATCGCTCTAGCTTAATTGGTGTTTCTACCAGACCTTATGGGACATCTGCGCAATTCACCGCCTCCAGAGAGATATATATCAGAGCTCCTCATTCAAAGACTTGTGAGTCCGATACGTAGAACACGCGCGTCCTCTACACCCCAGTACGACATCCACTGTGCATGACCTTGGATATACCGTCTCCTAAAAACCCGTTCTATCCATCATGGCAGGCTCAACGGTGGGGTCGTCAGAGTTACTGGCCGAGAAAAATGATCCGAGTCTGGACCAGCGGGTCAGCATTGCTTTCATTGTGATTGACACATTTTTCATGCTGGTTTTCTACGTGAGCCGGTATTTCAATCCCAAGGCCGTGGGAGTGCCCATGCTGATGTGCAATACGATGTGCTATGTGTTTTGTATGGGGAGTGCGACAACGGGAATCTGTAAGTATTCCATCTTGTCTTCTCGCATGGGCTATGGGCTACAAGAAGCAAATATAAGAATATGAATGAGGCGGAAGCATTGACCATTTTTCACTATAAAAGAAAGAAGCCAACGATGAAGATGTGATGGCTTAACTCAAGCTGAGAGACTCGATTAGTGAATTATGGACACTGACGCTCGATAGTAATGGTTAAAATAGGCGGCGTAGGGTCCCACGTCAATGCCATCCCTGTGAGCATCTTTCAGACCTGGCTGCAATTATCCAAAGTCCTCGAATTCACCTACACACTTGCCGTCATGTTTGCCAAGCTTGCCACTCTATTTCTCTACTATCAAGTCTTCGAAGTCTCCCGTTATCGTCGCGTCATCGCCGGCATTGGCGTGATTATCATCCTTCAAGGCTTGATTTCTATCATCTTAGCGTTTTCGATTTGCCGGCCTTTCAGGTACTTCTGGACCCAGGCAGCTGATGTCAACGATGGAACTTGTGGAGACGTCATGCTTTTTTATAAGAGCTATAGCATTCCGAGTCTTGTTACGGATGTGATGATACTGGTGCTCCCGTGGCCAATTGTTCTCAAATTACAAATGCATACCTCGGAAAAAATCGGCCTGATATTTACTTTTCTGGCTGCTTCGCTGTAAGTATCACGCCTCTCCTCCGCTTATTTCTGCGTCTCGTCTAGATGAAGAATAAAAGATATTGATATAAAATAGGGGAATAATAACATGCGCACTTCGCTTCTCCGTGTTCTTCACCGTCCCACTCTTCTCGGACCCAACATGGCACGCCTCAGGAGGTCCCATGATATATGCCCTCGTCGAACCCTCCATCTACATGATAGCTAGCATACTGCCCACCACGCGGCATCTTTACCGGCGAATCTGCAGTAAAGTGAGACAAGCTGCGCGGCTGCAGAGGGAGAGTAACAACAATAGCCCGGAGAGAAGCGGCAGTCTTTCTCAGTCGGCAGAACCCCCGCATATCAAGAACAGCGACAAAAGTAGCCGCAGAATCACAGCACGTATGGATATCTGGCAGGAAAATACAAATTCAAGTGACGAGGAACTGACACTGGGGAGAGTGGGATCAGAATCCGCAGGAATGGATTGAGGCCAGCAGACACTTCATTGCCGAGTACACCAGAAGCGCATATTTTTGCGAGCAGTGGGATCACGGGGCATCAGGAGAAATTTGTAATGCAGAAGAAAGACAAAGCTTTGCTTAGCGCTTGCCAGCCTTGTCCAAGATCGGACCGGTTATGATTAGTTGGGCTGGCTGCGGTCAGGCTAGCGCAGCTTGCTGATAGTCTGTTGTTGGCGTTGGCGTTGGCGTTACACAAGGAATTCTACAAACGTGCTGCTACCGATTAAAGGTCTAGTAACGGCTCAATCACATTGGCGAATTTCTGTAGGCTGCTGAAACAGTCCCGATCCCAGCAGATGTGGCTGGTGGTGGCCTAGTCCAGCGGGTTGCCGGTACATGAGTATGAAGGGGCTTCAATCTCACCCTCACGATATAGAATGTGGTGGACCTTGCTAAAGTTTTATTGACTTGTTCATATACTTTGCAAATTACCTTCGGTGATCCGGAAGAACTCTGTTTAGCATTTACAGGATGGTCCCTATACGGCTATACAGATCGCCGTTTGTTCCGACACTGCGCGACCATATGGGCGCGCTTCCTACAGGACGGACTTGGCTTTCTTAAACTTCCTCTGCGCCGTATTGATGGAGGATCTAGGGACGCCTTGTGTAAGCGCACGGAGCTTCTTTCTCCGTAACCTTTGCCAGGCGTCGCAAAGCTAGTTCCCAATTGTAGCCAGGTGGACCGAATCTCTATCATTCTAGCATATCACACCAAGCCGGTATACTAATGGTGAGACTGTCATTGATTGGCTATCTTTCTCAGATAAAGAGACCAAATCAAAGGCAATTGGCAAGAGATGACTACTTTCCGTCGACAGTCATCCTGGACATATGATCACAGAGTTTCTTCCGTCAAAGCATAGTTTTTAATTCCTTATGTGACCATTTCAAGCCAGCCTATTGATCAGAATTGGTATCATGCATATTAACAGACTCTCGAGAGGGAAAAGTTCAAGCTTCAGCAGTATTGTCATCATAGGGCTAGATAAGACCGTCTTCCTCATCCTCCTACCGGCTATCCAAACTGATAGTGTACCACATCGAAGTATTCAGCATGCCTCGCGATACAGTGATTTTCCTAATCAAAGCACCTGAGATCCTTGATAAAATTTAAGTTAGATCTAGGCGGCGATGAACAGATCATTTAAATTATCAATAAGCCAACTCCACCAACACAGAGCAGCAGTCCTACCAATGGTCCATTCCGATATTACTGTAGTGCGTCCTGAAACCTCTGAGTTGACAAAACTGATCAAATTCTGTTGAGTCTGTCGGTATTCATCCTAATAGCATTACAAATATGAGGCTATATCTAAATGAGAATTCGGAGGGTATGGTGAGCAATCCTTGGCAGGAAGGGGTAGGATTTAGAGATATTGGAAGGGGTTCTGGTAGATTCCTCCCAAACGGGTTAGGTGAATATGCAAACTCGCCGGGGCACACCAACAACGAGAAGCGGTGTGGGTGGGTTGAAGGTAAGGCGGAAAGCACCGTTCCTCTCCAAATTCGAGCTGGAGCTAATCTTTCTCCTTCCAACGTATCCTTCCCAGAAACTTTGCAGTTCTCAAAGAATTTGGTTAATATGTTCAGCTTTCGTACCTTGACCTCTCTCATTTATTTGATGCATGTCGCTTTTCTAGGAGGCAATGTGCAAACACATAGTTCCCAGCTTAGGGACATTGTTCCTAAGCGCGAGGTTCTCTACGTTGGCGGACAATACACGAACATCACAGCAAGTATTGATTCCCACCAGTTTTACGCGTGTCTAAGATCGCCAAACAGGACAACGCAATCAATTCTCCATCAATGGCTATGGTAGGGCAAATTTACGTCGAGAGGCTTTCCCCCCAGCCAACCCCAGCGAACCCACCACTTCCCATTATTTTTATTGCAGGCGCAGCTCAGACCGGCAATAATTTCCTTGATACTCCTGACGGACGGCCAGGATGGGCATCCTATTTCATCTCCAAAGGTCACACAGTCTACCTCTCAGACCAACCTGCGCGCGGCCGCTCGTTCTGGTTTCCCGGACAGAGAAGTATTGGGTACATTGGCTCCCCCAATTCTGTCTCTGATATTTTCACCGACGTAGCAAATAACGGCAACCGATGGCCACAGGCGAAGCTTCATACCCAATGGCCTGGCACCGGTCGCATTGGTGACTCAACGTTCGACGCTTTCTACAGAAGCCAGATGCAGTTCCAGACCGATCGCTTCATAAGTGAAGAGCAAAATGCGCAGGCATATTCAGCTCTAGTCGACCTCGTAGGCGACTGTTTTATCATTAGTCACTCGCAGGCGGGTGCATACGGTAACTTCAGCCAAACAACATCACTCGCTGAAGTGGTTAACAATTGAGTAGGTTGGAGGGTCGGAGATATGCGGCCAGATCTAGTCAAGGGTATAGTCCAGCTCGAGCCGTCTGGTCCACCGTTCACGCTTCGGCCGCCGTTTGGGAATGACTCAGCTTTCGCTTTCGGTCTCACCGACCTTGCAATCGGATACGAACCGTCTGCAGGCAAGAATGCCGAAAATATCGAGACAACTATCGAGCCAGCAATCGACGCTGATCACGAGCAGTGCATCATGCAGAAGTACCCAGCGAAGCAGTTGACGAACCTGAGAAAAATCCCGGAACTTGTTGTTACAGGCGAAGCATCGTTCCATGCGCCATACGATTATTGTACCGTCAAATATCTGGAGCAAGTTGGCGTAGACGTTGATTACGCGGATCTAGGAAACGAGGGCATTCATGGTAACGGACACATGTTCTTCATGGAGAAGAATAACATTGAGATCGCAGACCGAGTGTACGAGTGGCTGGGAAAACACCAATAAACGCATGAATAATAAAGCGTCAAGTGCTTCACAGCGTTGTTCCATGGTGTTTACACTTTTATAATAGGTCATTGATCGCCAGAATCTCCCTTTCAGTGCATGTGATAGAACTGAGGCTTTCAATAATTGCGTAATCCTGACATTTGTGAAGGCTATTCCAGAGCGTGAGATCTATTCAGCGAAGCCGAGAGATTATCTTTACCAAATTTGCAAGCCATGTCAAAGATCTTGGCTGAAGAGAGAAGTTCGTCGACTGGATCTCAATACTTCCCATTCCAGCCTCGAAAACTAGACTCTGTGTTAGCTCCGGCATGGGTGCTGGGTCCGAGCGCTAGGTTATCACGCGCATCAGGCTCTGCTTGAGACTTTCCTTGCGCGTCACACAACTCTCATACGAAATCCTTCTCGATTATAAATATTCCATGGCTTTGTTTTTGGGAGACCAGATCCTTATTCGCGGCGATAAGATCTGGTGCCGGTCAGCCTTCGATCGCCTGTTGGTAGATAACTTCTGCGTTGCCGTGGAGCTTATTTCTCCAATTTGACAGCAATTAGGTAGGGTCTTCAAGTGAATAGCCAAAAGTTCCAAGAAAGGGTCACCTGCTGGTTAAGAACTAGACCATCGTGATAGGAGACGACACTGGGTTTTGCAGGTGCGACGAATTGTCATTCAATGCAATACAGGTAGCGGTGGTGTGATATCGTTCGAATGCAGTTTGAGTTGAACTGTCGCATGGTCTCTGTTTTCCCGACACCTCGGGGCCGCTTCAAGATGGGTAGAGGGAGAGCACTAATCCAGCACCCGGAAAAATGGTGTCAATATCGAACCAGGTATCCCCGGAATCATCGTCGCTGTCCTCTTCGCGATCGTTCCTTTAGACAGTTCGGCATCACCAGGTAGACTATGACGAATCGGCGTTGCGGGCAGCTGTGCAAAAATATTTCCTGCTAGTGGTAACGAGTTTACCTTCGATAGCGTTGCGATCTATGAGAGAGCACAAGAAAGCCCGGTTTGCGTTCATCACTCTTCTGATTCTTGCTCCGTTTTGGGCAGAGCTTTAGAATGATATACTTCCCTCGTTTCGTGTCCGAGGTGGGTCGCAGGGATGGTCGTTGACAAGGAATAGGAACTTTTCCAGTACAATGTTTGGTCTCGATTTGGTCGATTGGCAATTGATCGAGCTTGTGACTGGAAAGTATTCGTTTCTTATATGGTTAATTCTCTCTCGTCTCTTTCATCGACAACATCTGCAGACAGAGCTTGAGCCAGCCTTTTCGCTGATAACAAGGTATTGGAGGACGATGATGGTTCTGCATCAAATGAATTTCTGGGAAAGCTGAGCATCGGAGGCTTTCCAGCCGACGAGGGATAGAGCATTAGTCGTGACATGATTCCAGCCGCCAAATGACTGGCATCCCTTGATGCCCAATCCAGTCCTGGCGAATCTGTCAGCAATGAAGGTCACATGCCGTCAGTACTCACGTGACTCGACGGTCATGTCGGCTCACGTAAACGGACGTATTTTATCGACCAATGGGGTCCGTACTCGATCGTGTAATTGTCTGAATTATTACCCGCCCTCGAACCACAGTTCTTATGTGCGGATCCTGACTAAGGCTAGCATGACAAAGCAGATTACCTAATTTTATGATTCTCCATAGCGACACCATCTATGCGAATTCGGCTGAAGTCACGCATTAGACCATGAATCGTACGTATATGGTCTGAAGTAGCCCCATCTCTTATACTAGCCCACAGTAGCATATCATCAAGATGGTCTAATATCAATCTATCGGACGGGACCATATCTGCAGGGGGGTCCAAGGTTTCGTCCAACGGTTGATCTGTGATATATAGATCTCCACCACCACCAAAATCAAGGTCTTCAGGGGGTGGATCACTTTCGTCTGATGGGTTTAAATAGTCATAAAACGCCTCTGGGGCCCCCTCTCGGCTATTGACCCCAAGCTTTATTAAAGCTTCGTTAAAGAGCACCCCTAATTTTTCGGTTAAACCGGGCTCTGTTAGGGGTGTACTTGTGGGTATAGGGATATCGTCTGTAGGGGTGATAGCTGGAGATCTCCGAATCAACGTGCTTTTAAGAAAGCAGTTGAATATGGTTTCGTCCAATACCTTCACAGCCCACATCTTTGTAAGCCAATTGACAGTATATAATAAAGTCATCCTCGATTGTGGGTTTGGTCGACCTTGATCCAATAGACAAATCATCTACCGGACCCAAAATTTGCGATAGTGGTGCTTCAGATTTTGAATTATCCCTTGGTCCAAAGGTTGATAAATCGAGGTTGAATTTGCTGGGAGGAAAATAACCTTAACTCGGGGCGGTGGGGGTGCTTTTTGGAGTCCAACAAGATGTGGTGACACATTGTCAAGCAATAGGACGACTCGTCTTTCCATACTAATTCGCTGGTAAAAGGAGCGTAACCATTGCTCCATGATATCACCGCGCATCCACGCCTTCTTATTATTTCTCCAAACATATCCCACCTTTCGGCTATCTACTCCCCGGAGTGCGCGAGGTGTTTTTGCGGTCCCAATTAACCATAGGGGCACCCGATCACTTCCGGTAGCGTTTGTCGCAACAATAACCGAAATTCGAGTTTTATCAAGCTTTTGCCCTGCTTGCTTCTGCTTATCAAGGCTCCCATTAGGCATACGTCTCCACAATAACCCTGTTTCGTCCATATTATAGATATCTTCAGGGTTATATTGATCACAAATTGCCCGGATTGGCTTAATATCCTCATGAATAGAGGTTGGAACCGAAGCAGCTTCATCATGAAATCGGTAATATTGGATATTATGCCGCTTCTTAAAACGGTATAACCATCCATCTGAAAACTGTGGTTTTGGCATATCTTGATATTCAGGTATTGTCCTCCAAAGCTCAGCAGCTTTCATCTGAAGGATATGGCCAGTAAGAGGTGGGTGGTCTTTCTGAGCAATAACCCAATTAACCCATTGATTAAGCTTTTCGTCTAAAAGTGGCCAATTAGACGCAGAAGCACGCATAGATAAGCCTGCTGGGCTACTATCAAGGTGGGCGTATTTGGATGAAAGCACTCTTGTTATAGTTGAGCGGTTAATTGGTCGTTTAAATTGAGACGAAAACCAATCTGCACACACTTTGTGTGATGGACGAGGAGTTGTTTGAGAGTAATAAACCCTAAGCGCTTGCTTTTGTGCGTCAGATACGCCTTTTCTAGCATATTTTGGCACTTTTTGCACTTTTTGCTGCACAGGTGGGCGGACAGTGGTCAGGGGTGGAAGTGGGGCATTATCCTCGGATCCAGACATTTTGATTGGTCGATACGGCTTATTAAGCGCGAGATGACTCAGCAAATTATGATGAAAAGTGGTGGTAAAGGTGAATGTGGCTCTTATCAAAAATTTGTATGTAAAAATCAATAAAAGTGGGTCCATCCACGCGAAGGTGGTGCCCTAACCGCGATTGGGCCATAAGAGGGAGTGGCGTAAGCGAGCGTTGACTGTATTCTGAATGAAATATATATATTTCTTCTACCCTGACTCATGATTTCTTAATTAAACTCCTGTAAATAACTATTACCTACTTTAAATATGTTCAATCAGGTACCCTTGTAAGCTAGATCAGAATATAAGAAAGACAAATATAAGAAAAGTGAATTAAGAGCCGTAAAGTGAAACCATAAGTAAGAAGTGGGAATAGGAGTGAGAAGCGGGAGTGTCACGTGAAGTGAGAAGCTGTAGTACTGTACTGCCTATTATGACGAAAGATGACAGCATCTTCCCTGTGCAAAGGTCAGTTCCTTCAAATCCTTGCCAAGAAAGCCCGTTAAACGACCTTGATGCATCGTTTGCGAACAATCACTTTCCACGATGCAACACCTGCGTTGCCTCAGAGGACAAGCATGGCAAGAGGTAGGGTTCCGAAAGGAATAAAGGAATGCGAATAAACGCCTTATTCATATTCTGCTATTCCGTACGCAAGTAACTCAAGCTGTTTTCCCTATTTGCGGGTGCTGACATTGGAAACGTTAACACCAGCCACAAAGATCCTTGAAGATTATATATATCTACATACCCAGTTTCATTTCATCTTGGGTCAAATTATTGAATAGACCTGCTCAGCCCTGTTATATACCTTCTATCCACTTTAAGCTCTGTCTATACAATAAACTCGATAAATAACACGTAAAAACGCGTTTGCCGCACGTTGCCGAGCTCTCGGTAGCCCTAACTACATTTTGTTTACTTTCAAACCCATCAAGATCGCGTCGCTGAAAGCTGAGAAGAGACCTGTCAATTTTCCACATCAAGAAGGGAATAAAAGCGCGAACATGATTGAGTTCGTCCGGAATCATCCTTAAATCCCTTGCCAGCCGGCTCCTTATTGTACTACCGGAGGACAACCAATCCAGGTAGCTCAAGGTATGTTATACATTACTGCTGATACCTCCCTGAGATAGTGACCCCAAGAAACAGTAGCATGGCATCTATATCTCATCCGATCTTGCGGCGGACTCGCGGTCTTCCACGTCGGGACTATAATGCTCTACACAATGGCCTCGTTTCCTCGTCTTCGGAGCAATCCGAGGAATCGATCGGTGAAATAGAAAGCCCTTTCTCTCCCGAGCCGTCCCTACCTGTGCACACCGACTAAACGCCTCAGTCAAAATGGTCTTACTCTTTAGTGAGCTCTTCACCCTCCCCACTTGATCCCGCATTCTTGGAGAGTAGCGGAGATACGGCGAGTCCGCTCCCGTCAAAAAGACGAAAGACCAAGTCGTATTCCAGTTGGACTGTCGAGCACTTTTGGACCACAGATCTCGATAGCACTTGGTGTCGGCGGGATGGCCCGCCAAAGAAAGATCGACTACTGGTGTGCAAGCACTGCAACTGGTCCTCCACGGATTCGGCGCGCTATGGTTCGACTTCAAATTTGCTGGTGCACCTCCAAACCAAGCATCATATCAAGTCTGGGACCGGCTCCATTTTCTTACCCGCGGCCGAAGGAAACATCGACCGATTCTTGGAGACGCCAAGAAGGAAGGCTGGCGTTGAAGAGATGCTAATTCGATGGGTCATTCAAACAAGACAGCCCTTTACAATAGTGGAGCACCCGGCTTTCAAGGCACTTATTGAAGCAACGGGGGCTTCTTTGCCCATCAAGACCGCTGATACTCTGAGCAACCGAATTAAGGAGGAATTCCACTCACATAGGGCTTACGTGAAAGACGAACTCAAGAGGAGCAGCCGGACACTTGCATTGTCTCTTGACGTGTGGATGTCGGAAAATCAAATTCCAATCATGGGTATCATCGGTCACTGGATATCCCCCGAGTTTGAAAAGTGAGACGAACTCCTTGAGTTCACCGAAATTAACGGACCGCATTCTGGAGAGAACCTAGCGGAGGTTGTGCTAAAGATGCTCGACGAACTAGACATCGCACCCAAGCTCCTGACTATCACCGGGGACAATGCAGGCAATAATGGAACACTCTGTGATAGCCTGCATGACCAGCTCCTTAAGAAGTATGACAATGATGATGACCGCTTTCGCATCAGACCTCTCATGCGGTTCCGTGGACGGCAGAGCTTTATTCCATGCCTTGCCCACATCCTCAACCTGATTTGCAAAGATGTGTTAGCCTCTTTAAAGGCTGGCTCGGCTCGGGAAGCAAAGGCGATACTAGACGACATGGCCATCCATGTTAGTCCATCGTTCAACTCCCTTCATAGCACGAAAGGAGCAATTATGAAAATCAGGCTTCTGAAGCTATGGATTGCTCGAAGCCCACAACGCCGCCAAAATTGGAAAGAAATATCTCCGAGCAAACAAGTCAGTTATGATGTTGACACCCGATGGAACTCAACGTATATCATGATTCAAGATGCCCTACGGCTGCAGACTGAGCTGGGGCAATTCGTGCGAATACATCCAGAGGTTCAGGCCCTCCAGCTTACCGATGGCGACTGGTCGACACTTCAGCAAGTAGCGAAGGTTCTCAAGCCGTTCTGGGACCATACAAACTCTGTTTCAAAGACATGCCCGACGATTGTGGAAAGTCTTCCGATTTACTGGAGCTTGGACGATCTGTTGAATGATGTTCAAAACGCGGAGGGTGATTTTGAAGACGTAAGCATTGAAATTCGCAATGCGGTGGAGAGAGGCATTCAGAAGATGAACAAGTTCGCTAGAAAAATGGACGACAATCTTCTTTACTATGTGGCTTCCGTATTAGATCCACGCATCAAGTCATCTTTGATTGTGTCTCAAATGAGCGAGCAAGATTCGGCCCTTATCGTTTCGCAAGTGCGGGAATTCTTAAAGAAAGAATACCCTCCAGAGCCATTCGTCTCCCGTGAAGCTAACCATACACGTCCACCGGGGATGTCGGAAACTATGTGGAGAGCTCTGTGCAAAGTCCAGCCATCCAAATAGGCTTCTTTGTCGGATGTTGATAAGTATTTGGATTCTCCGCCGGTCAACTGGTCCCACCATATGATTGGTGATGCGGACGCAGAATGGGTCCTAAAGTGGTGGAAGGCGAACACGTTTAATTTTCCACTCATGGCAAAAGCCGCTCGCGATTATCTATCTATTCCTTCGGCAGAGGTTGGGGTGGAACGCGAGTTCAGCAATGCTCGAAATATCTTGGGCCTCCGAAGACATCGCCTGAACGCGGAGACTATGCGATGGTTGATGTTGTTGAGAGAAAAGTCTTAAAATCAAATTTCATCTTTGTTATGTATGCATGTCATTTCCAATGCTTCGGAAAGAAGATTAGCCTGTAATTCACCATGGAACAGAGTGTACGCGATGATGATTTACTCGAACGTAATGAAACGAAAGGTAAGGTAAGGTATTTTATTATATGAATAAATATGAATTATTCATATATTCATGAATTGTTGAAATCAAAGTGACTGTAATGAGTTTTTTTTTTTCAGTTGTCTGCCTTGTTGGAGGTGGGACACCCTCATCTATTTATATGTCTCATGATGATCCCCACCACAGGCTTTAACCACCGTGATACTTAACATGAATATTGCGAATATGAATAAGCTCTTTATTCATATTTATATTATTCAATTCATATTATTCATATTCACAAAAATTCGTGAATATTCATGAATATTCATATTCCTTTCGGAACCCTATTCGTCGCCGATCCACGGTTTTGCTTAAACGCCTGAGCTTGCCGACCGGGTGATCTCAAGTCCTGGATTTCAGCAAGATGGTGGAGTCATATTTCACGCAGTGGAGATGGAAACCAAAAAAATTATCATATTGGAATCGATGGAATGAATAATAAATATCATATCCATCGAACCGGCATCCTCCGTTACGGCTTGCCCCGCCATATCACGTGTTAATCCCCCACTTGTGGCTCTGTGATTACTTGTTGCGGATGAGCATTTTGCCTCGCAAATACAGATGGAGATAATTCAGAGAGACTTTATCTGACTTGATCCAACAGCTGAGGTTTCTACTTTGAGCATTTCTGTTGTGTTTGTAGGGAATCTCCCCGCCAAGTGGATCTAAAGTTGTCGGGGACCTTGGCAGGAAAAGCGACGATAAGACTAGCGGAAAACTCTGCTACGAAGTATCCAATTTTGTTGCAAGCCAAGTGAAAGCCAAGACTAAGAGCAAGAAAGATATAATAAGTGGCACTCTCTGTTTTTGTGCTCCGATTGAAGCTGCAGGGATTTCATCCGATTTCAAGATCTGCATTTCCACAGATCAGCATATAGTTGACCTTCGGATATCTGAAAATGACTTCCTTTGTTGACGAAACGCCTGCGGATTCGACCAGCCTGGAAAGTGACAAGAAATGGAGCTTACAGCCTCTGATCCGTAAGGCTGAGCGGTCCCATAGTCGAATGCCGGGACTTCGAAAGATTCCTTTTCGAGCCATCGCCATCATCACTCTGATTGCATTTTTGAATATCATTGTGTGGGCTGCGGCGGCGGTTGTGCTGGTATGTTCAGTCTCATTTGTGGATCAAGTAGAAACAAGCTAACGGCATGACAGCACTTTCATCCGTATGTTTTTCTGTCTGTCCTGTCCACACACTCCAACTAATATTTTAGAACAATGGTATCCACCGCAGCTCTTGCATACTCCCTTGGCTTGAGACATGCTTTTGATGCGGACCACATTTCTGTAAGTTCACCTCGGATCCATACTTCGATATGTGCAAGCTGACACGAATATCTTAAGGCCATTGATTTGATGACACGTCGATTATTGGCAACCGGCCAAAAACCTGTCACTGTGGGAACGTTCTTTTCTCTTGGGCATTCCACGTGAGTAATAAGCCAATAATACATCCTGGCCGCCCTAACGTATTTTTAGGATCGTGATCATCACATCCATTGTGGTCGCAGCTACAGCTGCTGCAGTGTCCTCAAAGTTCGATAGCTTCAGCACTATCGGCGGAATCATTGGTAGTTCCGTCAGCGCAGCATTTCTGATCATTCTTGGACTGATGAATGCCTATATTCTATTTAAATTAATCAAACAAATGCAAAAGGTGTACAACTTGGCCGAAGGAGAAGAGGACGAAGCATGGAAGATCGAGGGTGGAGGTCCGTTGTTTGCCATCTTGAAGAAAATGTTCAAATTGATTGACCGGTATGTTGCGAAAATTCCGATCATTCATCACCAGCTGACGGTTTCTCAGTCCTTGGAAAATGTATCCTCTTGGTGTTCTGTTTGGGCTTGGTTTTGACACCTCATCAGAGATTGCGCTGCTCGGGATCTCGTCCATTGAGGCTGCCAAGGGAACATCATTTTGGGTGATTTTGATTCTTCCTGCATTGTTCACCGGTGAGTGGATCTGAATGATGATCAACTTCAGTTTTCACTAACCATTCCTAGCTGGTATGTGTCTTCTGGACACCATTGACGGAGCCCTCATGTTCTCCCTGTACATTCAGCCTGCACAGAACTTCCTTTCCCAAAAGGCTGCCAATGATGAATCAGAAACAGTCTCGATTGATGGCGACGAATTACCTCAGTCTAGAGATAACCATCGAGACCCTATCGCGTTCCTGTACTTCTCGATCGTGCTCACCATCTTGACTGTCATCGTTGCCATTGTGATTGGAGTAATCCAGCTCCTTACCATGGTCCTCAATGTGACCAACGCCACAGGAAAGTTCTGGGATGGCGTACAAGTGGCCGGCGATTATTATGATGCCATTGGTGGCGGCATTTGCGGTTGCTTTATTATATTTGGAGGGCTGAGCGTTTTGGTTTATAAGCCATGGCGGAGATGGATGGATCGACGTCACAGACGCTCGACAACGAATGATGAAGAGCGATACCGTGATGATGCTTCTGGGCAGGAAGATACCATTGTTACTAGCTGTGGAGTTGGTGAGGGCGTTTATGAGCGTGAGCAAACTACCGTTGATATCAAGGGGTCATCTCGTGTCACAGCGACCGAGGAACGACGGATTGAACAGGAGATCGTTTAAGACCACCAAATGGTTGAGGAAGTGAGGTTGAATTGTGGGAGTGATGAATTGGGAGAGTGATGAATTGGGAGAGTGATGAATTGAAGGGGTCAACATTGGTCAAAAAGATGACCTCCACTTCGTTTCACTTGATTCCTAAATGAATAAGACAGCAATTTACTCAACCATTCATCCAATTTTTTCTACAGGGCCGGAAAAAAGACAATCCCACCGGAGGCTAAATTGAAAATCTTCTGTAGTGTCGTTCTTCGTGCTTACCTTGGAGGGCATCCAATCCCCCACTACTCATGCTATAATGCGTGATCCCCTAGGAGCTTCAAGAGAATAAGCCCTTTCAGAAGCTGAGGGTCCATACATAGGGTCATGACAGATGTATCAAGGATCCAAATTCACCATGCGCTAAACTGAGGCCCCTTTCAACTGAATGATGTCTACTAAGATGGGGACCACATGTAATGTTTCTCGTTTCTATCGGACATATTTAAAGAGTCCAATGGTGCTCATCCTAGTGAAATACACTGACTACCTCTCCCTGCCTATTTCTACTCACCTTCACCTGACTGCCTATGGGTTTAATACCTAGTATAGAAATTCTCGAGTGCTAGAAGGAATCCGAAGGTTCAAAAGAAGTTGATGCGCCAATAGGTCAGAAGAGGTGTTTTGAAATCATTATGGCTCCAACAGAGAGGAAAGGTGAGAAATATGGCACACAGAATCCTAAAGGTAACACCTTCCGCTTTCTTCCTTAAGACGGCCCTTCGATAAACCTGCCTATTTAAGGACACTCCAAACCCATCACCAAATCAAGTTTGATGATTTTACCCGTTACGATACTCACGAAAATCTCGATGGATGTGGTCGTCAGCTGCAGCCTTTCGATACTATTTCTGAGACAACAGCATTATGTTTGTTTCTGTGCGTGCAAGGCAATTGAATATTATGGTAATTTGACAGTGCGTTGTTAGAAAAGTCAAACAGGCTCTCCAGAACAGTGAGAGTTGGAGCGCTGCTGGCTATCCTACGCTCTGTGTGGGAGGCTTTCGGCTAAATGAACACCTGAAATTAAATATTTATCCCTATAATCATCTCTATAATCTCCTGACGTGGGCTTCGATATCATTGATTATATAGAAGATAATTCCACCAAAGTCGACAAGCGAGGAAAACCAGTCACCAAAAGGATGCCCACTGTACAAGACTAAGATTGATTGCGCCGAACAGGCTTCTCGTCAGCAAACAATTTGGCGGAATTTTTACAGAATTATGATAACCTAAACTCCACCAGATGAAAAAACCAGTATTGTCTACTTATGAGATATTTATTTCCGTGTTCCTTTCATCACAGAATGAAAAGTATCCCAACTCTCTTCAAGGGCTGGTTGTCTCCAGCCTATCATCCATTCTGAGTGCAGTGCTTGTTGTACTGTCGCTCTTTCTCCCGGCCGGAAGGTTAGCATTGGGCGAAGCATCGCCTCAAATGCCCTCCTATCTCTCTCTGTCACGATCTGCGGCCTCGTCCAAGATGCGTATCGGTTCATTCTGTACCACCGAAGCGCGATCGAGAACTACCCCCTGCAGGCGTACGGATGTGGGCTTGTATTCAGTCCATCGCGGAGTATGATCCAGGAGCTCGAGGACAAGAGGCCTCAAGATATCACGATGATGCCGCTGATGGGAAATGACTGGGATGCGCACACCGGCGCCTGCCTGCAGACGCTAGAGGGCCATGACAGTCAGGTCAACTCAGTGGTGTTCTCCCACGACAGCAGCCGCGTTGCGTCCGGGTCTTGGAACAAGACGATCAAGATCTGGGATGCGCATACCGGCGCCTGCCTGCAGACGCTAGAGGGCCATGACAGTCAGGTCAACTCAGTGGTGTTCTCCCACGACAGCAGCCGCGTTGCGTCCGGGTCTTGGAACAAGACGATCAAGATCTGGGATGCGCATACCGGCGCCTGCCTGCAGACGCTAGAGGGCCATGATGACTGGGTCAGATCAGTGGTGTTCTCCCACGACAGCAGCCGCGTGGCGTCTGGGTCAGACGACAAAACAATCAAGATCTGGGATGCACACACCGGCGCCTGCCTGCAGACTGTTGAGATCGGCTCTGCAGTATCCAATCTCTCCTTCGACGCTACTGGCTCTTGCCTTCATAGCGATACTGGTATCATCGCTCTACGCGACCCACCGACACCTGCTCCTACTATTTCCATAGAAGGCGCCGCTTCAGAGCTCCAATCACTGTCAGCCAGTCAACCGCCGCAGACCCCTGAGTACCGAGGTTACGGTATCAGTTCTGATTCGCTATGGATCACATGGCATTCGCAGAACTGGCTATGGCTGCCTCCCATGTATCGCCCTGTATGCTCTGCCGTAGGACAGTCCGGGTCAGCCTTGGTACTTGGCTGCCACTCTGGGCGCGTGCTAATCTTTCGCTTCGCGGATGAGGATCGCAGCTGAACGCTGATGATCATCAGCAGATAGCAAAAGTGGGTCACGCAATCTGATCTAATTCTCCCACGCACAATGTTTTCTCACGCACGGCCATCGCAGTCACCTGATTGCTGGACTTGGCTGGGAAGGTAAAATTCCGTAATATTTACATACGGGTGGTGGGGCTGGCGTTGGATGAAACGATGGTTGTATTCTATAGACGCCAAGATATATGATTGTAATCTTCAAGTGTATTCAACGTAATAAATCCATTCCATTTTGTATCTCTCCTCTGCCAAGAATTTCGCTCAGGTCTATGTTTTCGCATCCTATATAATTTTGATGATATACGAAGATGAACTAAGCGACCAGAAAGGCCAAATCACCCACTCACATCTTCTCTACTGATCTTACACGTCTTGGTGGGTGGTCTTGGCGCCACAGTCGTCCATGGCTGACATCGCGGTAGTCCGTGTAGTCCAGTAATTCACCACCGGGACAAGGTAATAGTTTTGGCTCTAAACAGTACTCATACTAAATGTCAACTCATCATCGCATTCGCTGTTATTAGATAACACCGCGCATGTAGATAAATAGTAATGATGGTTGAATGTGCAGGTACCTCGCAGCTTAGCTTGTAAGCCCGGTCAAGGATGGAGTTCCATGGCTCCTGGTCCAGGATGTTATATCGATAGTGGGTCTTGCACCACATGGGAATTCTGAAAAGGGATCGACGCCTTTCCAGAGGACAGGCTGGCGTTTGGTTGGTCAGGCGTGGTGGGGTTGTGAGTCATGATGGACTGTAGATGCCTCACCAATCAAGGTTGTTGGAAACAGAAGTGCAGCGGGTCCGTGGCCGGTAAGTTTGAGCGGTAGGAGCAGGGCCCGCAGATCAGCCTAAGTCTTGCCCGGGTAAAGGTACTCGTGAAGTCTCAGGTTTTGTCCTGCCAAGCGCGTCGATTACAGAGATGAGCAAGAAGATACTTTGTAGTATTCGCACCAATTAATTGACCTTTCATCAAGAATTTACCAATGGCTAAAGTATCGTCAGGAATAGGGTGCATAAGATGACAGGTGGAAAGTGGGACGGCGAGATCGAAATGATCGGCCGGCACCTTAAACCTTAAAGGGAGTGGTTTTATTGGGGCTGCCTCACAATGCCTGTAGCCTCACCATGTCTTGTCGGAACAATGGATCATGTAATCAACTTTATTAGTCAGCGTACCACATGTTAAATTGCTGTGGTGGAGACTAGAGAATACCAGACAAGTACACAGACGTGACCCATACCATTGGTACATGCTGTTCGACCCTGATTAGGCTTTATCACGGGCCTGTCCATGGACAGAGACCCCTTGTCCATGTCCACCATGGACAGGGGGCCTTTGTCCATGTCCATGACGGGCATGCCCACGGGCCTAAAAAAGCCCGTGGGGGCCTGATTTTGCTAGTTTCTGCCTGATTTTTCTTGCATAATCTGATGACTTATCCGAAATTAATTTTGTTATTTACCCCTGTTTTCGTCAAAACACATACCACCTACCCTATTATCTATCTTCTCTATTGTATTTTTATGAAATATCCCTGTTGATGGATAGATAATATATATCTTTATTAGTATAACAGCTATTTTTAATAGATAAGGGAAGGGTATAGGGTATATTATAGAGTAGTGGTTAATAACCCTGCTGAGGTATGAAGATATATATTTCGTACATGCATACCCTCACTATGTTTCTGGTCATACCATCTTTAGTACTAAATTTACCCCAAAAGTGCGTTTTTGAACTATTTCAAAGTAGAATCTAATGAATTAGACCCCCTGTTATCTATATTCTTTATTCAATTGATAAAAAATAGCTAGAAATAGTATAAAAGTTCGGATGAAAGGTTCGAATTGTTAGACTTAGACAATTTTTCTCAGCAAATACTAGCCCCACTTAGTATAATTTACCCCTTTTACTCTCTTCTCTTATTATTCTCTTATTCTTCTCTCCTACCTACCCCTTACATATACCCCATATGTCTCAATTATCACTTTATAGTGATAGTTATGATGGTATCGATCCATCTGATTCTATATCATCTGTTCAGCTACCATACCCCCTACTACCACCACCACCCCTCCCACCAGCAATTCGGACTATTAAACTTCAAACTTTTGAATATGCTATCTGGACAAAGGTAGAAAGTCGAAATTTCGTTGATTGGTGGCTGAAAACCCAGTATGGGACTAAACCAGCTAGCAATTCAATGAAATGGGACCGAAAACGTCAATCTTCTGAGATTTGGGTAAGTCTACAGCAAGTTGCTAGCCTACAGACTGGAGAACCTAAGGTTATGTGTATTCACTGTAATACCTTACTTGTGCACCCTAATTGGAAGGCAACTGGTACAAATACAGTCCGGCGGCATTTACAGAGCTGCCTAATAAGGGTAAAGCGCCCTAGCATTCAGCATCTTATGCAGAAAGCGGTAAATAGATCTTTTTTCTTCTTATCCCATCTTTTCACCCTATCTTTTTTTCAGACAAAAAAGCTAATAAGCTATTTAATAATAGACCCCAAGGTCCCCAACCACCAATCCTACCATACCCTTCTCAGACGATCTATGGAAAAAGCAGCTTTTGACTACTTTTACTAGTCTAAACCTCCCTTTTCACCTAATCGAAAGCCCACACTTCCAGAATCTTCTACAGCTTACCCAATCAGCACCTTCTATCCTGTCTTTCCCCTGTGGTCAGACAATTCAACGCTGGTTAGAAAAAGCGACAATTTCACAACAAAGAGCTATCCTCGATACCCTACCCCCTACTTCGAAGCTCTCGCTTAGCCTCGACTGTTGGACCTCCCCCTTTCAGCAAGCATTTATCGCCATAACAGGCTATTTTCTTGACGAATCATGGGAGTATAGAGAAGTGCTTTTAGGGTTTGAGCCCCTATTAGGGACCCATTCAGGTGAAAACCTTGCAAAAGTAGTGCAAACTACTATTGAAGCATATGATTTATCAGACCGAATTTTAGCTATTACAGCTGATAACGCGTCAAATAATCATACTTTAGTCACATCTCTCCAAGCTGAATACCCTACATGCTCATTTATCAGAAATCCTTGTATGGCCCACGTGATTCAGCTAAGCCTAAAGCAGCTGCTTGGACAGATGAAAGCAGGCCCTGAGAATGATACAATTGACCTTATTTGGTCTGAAGATCTCTCCCGCAGCAAAAGGGGTATAGAGGGTATAGCTAAAACTCTTCAAAAAGCTCGGAATTTAGCTATCTATATCAACGCAAGCCCACAACGACGAGACACGTTCTTAGGGCTTCAAGATCCAACGAAAGTACGCTTATTTCTACTTCAAGACGTCCGGACTCGGTGGAATTCGACCTTTTTGACGCTACAGCGAGCTAAGCGAGTTCGGACAGAGCTTGATCGGTATTGCTTAATATCAGAGCTTACTGAAATGAAGCTTTCTTCAGACGAATGGCAGCAAATCGACTATTTACTGTATATTACAGAGCCTTTTTACCAGTTTACCACAGTTCTGTGCAAAACAAAGGATATTACTATCCATACTGTCTTCCAAATCTACAATAAGCTGTTTGCCCATCTGGAAGCTTCGATTCGGAAGCTGCGGCGGAAAAAGGTAAGTTTCATCCGGTCTTTTTTTCATTCATCCGATCTTTTTAGTCAAAAAAGCTGATATCTTCTCTTTAGATTCCATGGAAGCAGCATATGCTTCAAGCCCTAGAAGCAGCTAAGGCTAAGCTCTCTGACTATTATAGTCAGACGGATAGCCCTGAGCTTGGTAACCTATATGCACATGGGACAATCCTTGCCCCTCAGCATAAGCTCCACTTCTTTCAAACCCCTGATTGGTCAGATCAAGATTATGCTAGTCAATATGAGATAAGCTTAAAAGATCGGATCAAAAACTATCAAAGCAAATCTACTAGTCATACTAGTATACCCTCTATCATACTTCAGCAGAGTGAGCTTGAAAGCTTACTAACCCCAGAAGTGCAGAGTCCTTTCGTCCAAGATGAGTTATCTCACTATCTTCAATCAGGTAATTTACACTTATTACTACTTTTACTACTTTTTTTGCTTCTTTTTAGCACTTTTTAGCACTTTTTGGCTAAAAGCTAATAATTTGTGTCTATAGGCATGACCCTTCTGAATCCTCGACAATTTTGGAAAGAAAATGAGACCAAATACCCAATTCTTGCGCAAATTGCACGTGATATCTTTTCTATCCCCGCTACGGGTGCTGGGGTAGAAAGGCTTTTTAACTCAGCACGTGATATCTGCCACTATCGGCGTGGTCGTCTGAAGGCTAGTACGATTAGAGATCTTATGCTCTATAGTCGTGCTACCAAATTTGAGATAGAAGAGACAGAGCTTGCTTTTATCCGATCTTTAGAAGAGGGTGAAGAGAGTGAAAAGGGTGAAAAGGGTGAGATTCAAGGGCAAAAGGGTGAAATTAGTGATAATGAAGAGAGTGAGAGTGAGAGAGAGTATGTGAGAGAGAGTGTGAGGTCGAAGAGAAAAAGAGGGGTTTCATCCGAAGAAAGTTCGGATGAAAGTGCGGATGATAGGTATTTGCCCGCATCTCGCACATCTGGTCGTGTACGGAAGCGCCCTGACCAGCCAATTGGCTTTCATGTAATTAATTAGGTGTTTTTAGTTATTATTTATTGAAATTTGTCTATTAAATTTTATCAGATCAATAAGGGTTACCGGTTTCTACAGAAATGATCGACTCCTGAAATTTCAGGCAGTTGGGTTTTTGTGCACAAAAACCTATCTTTATTGGTGACCTCACGCAGTCAAGAGGAGCAAGAAGAGTTTAGTTTGGCCGCAACGGGTTACCTGTCGCTGCGGTCGTAGACCGTGGCGTCAGATAGGCCCCGTCCGCGCTCCCTTAAAGGGAGGCAATGTGTCTGTATTGTAGTGGATTCTATATACAGAGGGAAGGTGGGAGGGACAAAATTGACACTTGACTGCCTGAGAGATGACGAGCTACC